TAAACTACGGCAGTTTGCGATCACTGAACAGTAAGAATGATTAATAAATCCATATCAAACAGTCCCTTAAAAGTCACGTCTCGCTTTCGGTTTCGGGCTTTGGCGCGTTTCGCGCTCACACACAAGCGTACCGTGCCAAAGCCCAAGTGTACCGCGCTCAGGCACACCTCTTCCAACCGGGCCAGGGCCGGCCAAGTGAACCGTGCTTGAGTCCGATTCAGCGCACTCACACTTCTCAAACGATCCGGGAAACGGGCCTGGGCACGGTACGGATGGCATAGTGTGAGTAGGCCCTTAGATAAACAAAAGACAGATAGTCACTATTTCAATTGCCACTTTCTGATGAGCTTTCTGATTATGTTGGAAATTAATTTCTACAAGTTAATTTCCACAACTTCCTGGCTTTACCACTGATCACTACACTTATTATATTCCCGCATAAAATAATATTTACCTTGTATGTTAATAAATGTTTTATTAAGTCAACTTCATTCAGTTTTATGATCTAATAATTTTTTTTTTAATTGCGTTTTCCATACGGTTCTAACTTAGGGTTTCTGATTTGGGGTTGTATTCAAAACCTAGAAAGGTACCAAGAACATTATCAAAACAGTCCATGGATCGTCATTTAGAATGCACATTCTTGAAAGCACTAAATGTGGTGGTATGCAGAAATACATTAAAATGTATTTTAAAATTCAAAATTAACTTTGACTTGTAGTTTATTATAGACAATACAACAGCACATTATTTAATGTGTTCCTCATGATTATAGTTTTTTTAAACAAACACGTATTCCAATTTTGGTTCTTGCAACAAATTAAAAAAAATAGTTGGAACAGTAAAGCATTTACAGTAGAGCATTTACTCTGTAATGTTGCCATTTCAACACTTAAAATATGTTTAGGAATGAAAACAGTACATAGTCTTTGTTGTTGCATTTTGCGCTTTAAAATGCACCACACTTTCTCTGTTGGAGACAGGTTGAGACTGCAAGCAGGCCAGTCAAGTACCTGTATCCTCTTCCTTCGCAGCTAGGATTTTGTATTGTGTGCAGAATATGGTTTTGTATTGTTTTATTGAAATATAAATAGGTGCTCCAAAATCTCTATGTATTTTTTTTCACATTTATGGTGCCATCAATAAGTGCAACTATGCCCTTCCAGCTGCAACCCACCTCCAGGAAACATCCATACACACTTATTCACACTCATACACTATGGACAAATTAGCTTACCCAACTCACTTGTACCGCATGTCTTTGGTGGGGGAAACCGGAGCACCCGGTGGAAACCCACGCAAACACAGGGAGAACATGCAAACTCCACACAGAAATGCCAACTGAAATGCCAATTGAGCCGAAGCTCGGACCAGTGACCTTCTTGCTGTGAGGCGACAGCACTACCTACTGCGCCACCTGCTGCTTTTGTACCAAATCATAATTACAATCACCCTTGTAGTGATCAGCGGTAAAGCCAGAAACTTGTGAAAATTAATTTCCAATATAAGCAAATGCTGCAGAGTTAACACTAAACCCTTTTCTTAAGCTCATCAGAAAGTGGCAATTGAGACAGTGACCATCTGTCTTTTGTTTATCTAAAAGACAAAGGTGTTAAGAGCCCAGAACTTGCTTCTTGATCCAATCAACTTTTGACATCGTCTCAAACTCAGAGATACACATGGATCAGTAAACTTGCATTTCACAAAAGAGACACAAATGGAAAATTTCACTTCATATACCTGTATATTCAAATGATCATGTATATATTTAATATGCACTGCTTGAAATACTTCACTGTATGAAACTTTGCTTATTAAGGTTTATATATGAATGCTTGGGTAAAGATCAACAATACATAGTGATGTTTAGACTCTATATATTGCAAATAATGCCTTGGGTTATTTAGATGTGGTTTGGAAAGTGAATTATGTATAGGAAAATATTCAAGACTCTTAAATATTATAGTAGTTAAGCGGTGGACTATGACTATGCAAATGCAGGCCACATTATGGATGACACCTCCCAGTGACCAACTCACAGGATCATCCAATTACAATGCTGGATTTGAAAGGTGACATCCTTCAATCACGCCTTCCAGAGAAAGTATTAAAGACATTCTCTAAAACAATGTGGGTCCTAAAGCGTCTGTTAAGGGTGGGTCCAAAAGAGTGTGTGCAGAAGAGTGTGCCTGTTAAGAAGTGTGGTAAAAAGTTTGTGTCCTAAAAGGTGGTCGAAGAGTGGTCAAAGTGCGGCTCATGGTGGTTTGCGGGGTTTTGTTCTAGACATCAGAACTTTTGCTGCGTGTTCCAGCAAGGATTTGGTAATTGGATTCACAGTGCTTTTTCCAAGGCGTCTGATACCATCGCATCAAGACCACCACCTCCAAAGATCTGCGTGTCCCAGATTTCCAGGAACTCTACCTTCAAAGAAAAGGCATCGGCGTGTTCCCGACATCGAACCACCACCTCCAGAAATCTCCAATTTCTGCATGTTCCAGAAGATACAGATTTCTACGGTCAAGGATAAAGACGTCAGCGTGTCCCCGACATCAGACCACCACCTCCAGAAATCTCCTATTTTTGCGTGTTCCAGAAGATACAGATTTCTTCCACTTAAAGCTCAAGAGAGCCAAGTCTGCTCGTTTCATGCTTCAAGATCTGCAGGAAGATCCAATTTCTTCCATCCACTGCATCAAAGGCAGAAACGTAAATATTCCACTTTCCAACCCTTTAAATTAGACCTTGGCATAGTGTGTTTCAGCATAAAATATTCTAATTAATTAGATGTTTATAACTGATATTCTTTAATAACAAAAACTTCCTCAGTTCTTTGTTATTGTAAAATAAGGTTTACCTTACATTACTTAATCACCTTCATCACTCGCCTATGCACTTCATTTATTGTACATTTAGTAATTGTAGTTACCCTTGATTACTATTTTGTTAATAAATACACCTTTATTACAATTGGGTCTTCCTTGTGTTGATAATACAGAAAAAGGCTCTACAAGTCAAACAATCTCATTATCCTTCAGATTTGGCCAGATAATAAACTCCTCATTTGTATAATTTAATTAACAATATTTGATTGTTATTTATTTTGACAGTATAAAGCTGTCTGGTGCCCTGTTTAAAATGAGTTATTTATCTGTTATTTCTACATTAATTGGTGCCCCCATGTGAGGATAAAATATCATTATTAATATCAATACCTAAATATTGATTTTAATATTTAATAAATCCAATTATCACTACACCCTGTTGACATCACCTGTTTCAAATCACATCATTATTTACCCATTGGAATTTGTTGCCGGTCTGAATGACAGGAAAAGATGTGTATTTAAAAATTAAATAAAGTTGATGAGACAAAACATGAAACATTTTGTATTCATATAGCCTGCAAAGTCAAAGTAAATTTGGAATCACTACTTTCTTTTTTTTTTTTTGCTTGCATTTTAAATACTGTCCAAACTTTTTTTGATTTCATGCCCCTTGCTGTCTAGAGGGACAGACAGCTCTTGGATTTTATCCAAAATATATTAATTTGTGTTCCACGGATACATTAATGAGTCCATATTATGGGTTTTTGAAAATGACCTTTCTTGTAGTGTGTAACACAGCTCTAATTGAAGTGAAATATCCAGCTAAGGCTTAAATCTGTAAGTGTACAGTGTTTAAAACTGGTGATTCATCTATAAAAGAGCCGACTCATAGTGCTTCAAACGAGTTGTGTTGATAACTAGTCATTAGGTGTTTTGCGATGACATGGCTACAAAACACAAGCCCCGCCCAGTAGTTGCATGCACAAAGCCGGGAGATTTAAAAATCTCTGGCCCTGCCCAGTAACACAGAAAAAAAAGGCTAGACACACACAGATGCCGGTTGAATAAAGTTACGCTGATGAAACTGTGAAGTGTCAGTGGTTGACATTTATTTTTGCTAAAATAATAAAATTGGTGCAGTTCAAATGCTTCTGGACACTACAAGATTACAAGGGAGAATTCATACAATACTAATGTAAGGGACTACATCAGAACCTGGTTCAGTGCATTATAGATTAGTTTCTTCAATTTCACAAGTGTAAGTAAGTGCTATTAAAATTGTTGCCTCATTTACTCTAGCTTGCAAATTATGTATCTAATTGTGTTTTGTTACTTGTAACTGTGTGTACTGTATTAGGTTAACGCTTTATATTCTAATATCACGTGTAAAGCCAGATTGAAAACGCGACGTGAGTCGCTTTGTTTACACATTTAATGTTAAATGCGCTTGTGAGCTTGCGTTCCACTGCTGTTTGTCGTGGCTATGGCCATCGTCAGCTAGGGGCTAGGAGATTCGTGTAGATCTCCCGAGTTCTTCTTTTAAGGAGGGTAGTGTAGTGTAGTGTGTGTGTGTGTGTGTGTGTGTGTGTGTGTGTGTGTTTGTGTGAAGAAATAGCAGGTAGAGTGTGAAGGCTGGAAGACTTGTGTTGATCTCCTCCCCAGTTATTGGAGTTTTCAATAAAATAGTTAGTCGTCTGTATTTTCAAGTCTATCGTCTGTATTTGCATTGACCCACTGGCAGCCAAAATCCATGCCTTACACTATGAAGCGTGTATGCACTGTGACTACTTTTATATTACTTTTTATATTGTTATATTGTAGCTGCTGGGCATTTTACTTTGTCTCGTGCTGAAGACTGTCAGTGTCAACCAATCGCAGCAGGCTGTCATTGGTCCAATCAGCACAGATTAGCTTCGCGCTAAGGAGGGGTTTAGGAACAAATGAATCGCTGAATGATTCATATGGGAGTCGCTGGGATAATTAGGTAAAAATGAATGCATACTATAAGACTCTGAAAGTGTTTTTTGACCTTGCATGCATATTAGACTGTTGCCTTACGACCAAAATATGACCCTATTTCATGTATAATAGGGGCTCTTTAAGATATGGGCTTCAAACAGCATGGGTAATTAAAGAAAAAAAAAAGTGTTTCGGGGTAAACTAACTTCTTCTCACCTGTTTGTAGAGAGGTTGGATAGGAAAAGAATGAGCTCTCAGGATCAAAAGGATGAAACCCCATTTCACTCCCAGTCATGTTCAGAATAGACTCAGGTGTAGATCTTGTGGACTCAAATCCTGAAAGAAAAAAATGTTTAAAAAATCTCAATAAATGTGTATATATTACTTTAGAGGGAAGTACAATCAATTAGACATATTCTCACCTCTCCCAGCTGACAAGCTGTTGTTCTCACCTCTCCTGAGGGGGACTCTATAGGCCAAACCCTGAGTCTGGGCCTCAACTATGTGACAGTCCAGGTATGGAATTACTTCTGCTGGGCAGCCTGCAAGTTCTGGCTCTACAGAAAAAGGGTAGGCTGCCGGTAGAGGTGGGATGAGATGTGATGGCTGTTCTCTGGTATCTTTGCTGGATCGGTAGGCTTGGAGAGGTTGGGGCTCCTGGACTGAGTTGGCTTGAAGACGCTGATGCTGGCGATGTCTCTCAACTTCTGCAAATAGTGAATCTCTCTGACGCTTGGACATTCGCCCAAACTTCACCGCTAATAGAGACAAGAAAACGAGTACAAAATGATTATCAAAATTTTGTTTCTGTGTCATTCAAGAATAGTATCCAATCATCCTTTCTAACCATCTCGGCTCATTCCTTGAGCGACACATTTTTTTAGACGGCAGCTCTGGCAACGATTACGGCTGGCACGGTCAATGGGGCAATTGCTTTGTCTGGAGCATGAGTACTGCACGCTAGAGGACTGACTTCTGCGAAAGAAACCCTGTCACGGTTGTGGAAAAAAAAAAACAATTATCAGGGCAGATTTTTGGTAACATAACATCCAGTCTAAAGAAATTTCAATGTTCTTTAAGCACTGCTCACACAAAAGTCATTAGCATACCAAGCAGCTTTCTTTTAAAATGTGCATTATCAACTTGAAACAAAATTTACTTTTCACTGAAAATTTCTAATAACACAGATTCTATCTGAAATAACTTTAAACATACCCAAAACATATAGCAAACAGAGTGTTATGCACATTAGTGATTTTTCTTACTTTGCAGCCTTCACAAGTGATGACTCCATAATGAACCCCTGATGACTTGTCTCCACAGATCTTACATGGGATCACCTCAATCTGAGCTATAGACACAAGCAAAAAAACACAGAATGATCCTGTGCATTAATAAAAATGTGTGGAGACATCACAGAATAAAAGGTTTGAATAATTCCTCATATTATATTTCAATAATTCAACGATTATTTAGACTATAATAGCAGATGGCAGCACAGCTCAGGAAAAATAGACTAAAGCAGGGCTTCTCAAAGTCCAGACTCCGGTTCAGATCTGGAGAGAACAACCCCCCCAACTTATTGTGTTAGTAAATCCGAAAAGATTAATACGCAGCCAGGGAAACAATTCAAAATAACAAACATAGCAGTCTGATTGTAATTTGCCATAATGATTCATGCGTTAAGAATGTGGGAATATACATTTATATTCCAAAGTTATGCAAAGTGTCAGTTTCACAGCACGCCTGTGTAACTTGTTTTCTCTTTTCGGTCAACTGGTTAGAAGGTTTTTGTCTCCAGAACATCATTTTGCACACGGTTTTAATGAGATCAGGCCTGAAAAAGGCAGTTTACCCTGCCGACCACAACACTTAATTTGCATCTTACCCCACGTACATGAATCACGTTCTGTAAAAAAAAGTATAAATGCACAGCCACGCACGTTGTATGCATCACGCCGTTCAATTGACACAGAAGTTTAAACTAGGCCTTACGAGGAGAGGGGACCAGGCTCATTGTTCACATTAACCTAAGACTAAGATTCTTCTTCCGTTTTATCTCATTGTTTTATGACTGATATGAGCATATTTATAAAAGCTCAAATGAGATTGTTGTACGTTTGACTCAAATGATATTATAATTGCTGTTTAAATGTGTCATTTTTTTAAATAAAATATATTTTCCATGCATACATCCACTTTAAAAAGTTATTTTATCAAAGATTTGTGGTTTTATTAAGTTTTATGGTGATTGAGCTGTATATACTAAAAGCAGTGCAAATTAAATTGTTGTAAATATGACCGAATAGTAAACTTAAAAAAATTATTTTTAATGTGTTAAAATTAGATTTTTTTTCTATCAGACAATATCTTTCTGTTCTCCACTGTAAAAATGATTACATTATTATTATTATTATTATTATTATATGTTATAAGGGATTATGTTATTGTTTTATGATGATTGATAAGTAAATATAAATAGCAGTGCAAATTAATTTGACTTGTAAATTTGACTTAAATTTGACTTCCTGCTTCCTGCTTTGCTACTGTTCGGACGTCTTTGCCTACTGCTCCGCTCCTTGCACTCCTGCTTTTATATATTTTACTCTAATTTTAACTTGAGCCTATCAGCACAGTGCTCAAACGACACAGCTTGAAGATCAACATCGAATCTACAAACATTTTGGAATACAACTTTACCAACAAAAGAGGAATTATCGTCTAAACAATCCTCCCGCTACCAGCTGCTTTCATTCCTGAGACGGGAAAACATGGCTGTGAAAATGGCTCTGGATCATATTGATTTGGAATCTCCCTGCTGCACCAACTGCCACAAACTTTTACAAAAGATTGCAGTTCTTGAAACAAAGTTACTTGCGATCCGACCAGAACTGTCGAATTACACAGGACTGGTTTATCGTGGAGCCTCACAGCATTCAGCCGGTAAGCCCTATAAATCTACTCCAGCTACTGTTTTGAGAACAGAAAAACAGATTGAAACTGTTGAAAATCAGCGTGAACTATGGCATAAACAAGGTGTGAGACCAAAGGGTACTCGTGGGGTCAGATCACGAAGGTCATACGCTGCTGCATTAGCGTTCTCTACCCCAAATACAGCTCTGACTCAAATACAGCTTCAGAACAGATATGAAGTTTTGAGTAATATGGGTGAAGAATCCCCAAATGCAGTTAGACAGAGATCGCATGATTCAACAATTAACTTTGCTCTGAACAGAGGCTCAAGGCCGACTAGACAGCGGCATTCTGCTCTGATCGCAACAGAGATAAGAACATTGATTGTTGGAGACTCAATAATCAAAAATTTTAGGAGCAGAGCTACCATGACATACTGCTTTCCTCATGCTACAGTTTCTGATATAAATAAAGAACTTGAGAACATATTAAGGAAACATGAAACTGCAAAACGGATTATCATCCATGTGGGGAAGAATGATATTCGTAAGGAACAGTCAGAACTGCTCAAGAAAGATTTCTGTGAGCTTTTGGAAACAGTTAAAAGATTGAAAATTCAGCCGTTCATCAGTGGACCACTCCCTGCAAGAGGGACAAATATCTTTTCAAGGCTTCTTGGTCTAAATGCATGGCTGCAGAAAACATGTAACATGAAAAGACTGAATTTCATCGACAACTTCAATCTCTTCTGGAACCAAAGACAGCTGTTTATATCAGACGGCCTTCATCCAAACAAGCTTGGTGCAAAAAAAAACATCCTCTTCTCCCTCCATCATCCATCAGCTGTGTATGCCACTGAACTGAAAGACACACACACACACCTAGCAAATGTCCGGATGACCACAGGACTTCAAATCAGCTCCTGAGTGGACTTGTGGCTGACGCATCCTACAAGGACAGAGATAACACCACGCAGCCACAACAACCGCTGATAACGGACAAACTGCCATCTGCGCCCTGCACACTGAGCTCAACACAGGCAGACTGTGATGCATCAGAACAGCATCAAGTCTCAGCAGTCTCAGCACTCATGGATGATCCCCAGGAAAGAAGCCAGGTAAACATATCTCAGCAGCCAGAAACCACTGCCACAGCCTCGCCTCTCTTGGATTTTTTAAAAAAGATGGAGGAACTGGTATGTGCTGGAACTAAACTCTCACACTCCATTGCTGCTAGGCCCCAGTTAGCAACCAAAAATCATCAAGCCACACGGCCATCTCTAAGCCCACCTCGCCCTACACCTAGGAGAGGCCTTAGGTCTTTGCGACAGCGCCAGGTCCCAAAACACACCTCATCTTTAGCTGGTGAACTTAAAATCTGCCATTGATGTGTCTCGGGGGCCTGCCTAGATAACAGTGTCTTCATCAGATGTTTACAGAACAAGCAGGAACCCAGTGTGTCTGTAGCTTTCTCTACGCAGATATGTGTCTTATTACGTGACAGAAAACCAAAGACTCTTTCAGACCGTATAGCAAATCATTCAAATCTGGTGTCTATTAAATGTATATCTGAGACTTCTGTAGTGAAAACGGCTAAAACTGTTAAGTTAGCACGTTTAAACATTCGATCACTCAATAATAAGTCACTTTTAGTCAATGATTTTATCAACACAAATTGCCTTGATTTTATGCTTTTAAAATAAAATCAAGATCAGATCTTACCTTGTTCAGATCTTACCTTGAAGGGAGAGGTTACTATGTAAGTATAGGTGACCATAGGTCAAGGTGGACACCCATGATATGTGGAGTCCAATGACTGTAAAAAATATGGACGACGCGACAGCCCTTTTTCCCATTGCTGCTGACTGCTGAAATTGGAGCCTTGACATGCGCAGAAGGATTTTCTGATGGAGCCAGAGTCGAGCTTCCAATCAAACGCTTTATGTAAAATCAACTACGCCCCCTGAACTTCTCAGCATGCGTTTGCTGTCATATCAACACAAATGGATGTAATAACGTTAACAAATATGAGGGTTTTATATATTCAATCGTGCCAGCTCCAGGCCGCAGCGCATAACTTACTCGCGGCGTCGCGGGCTGATTCCGGCTCGCATGCGGCAGCGCCTGCTCGCTCGGCCGCCGCATCTGGCTCGATTGACTCGGGCTGGAATTGGGTAGTGAGTCCAGGCATCCGGAGTAGGTCCAGCAGAGGTAACGTTAGTCAGTCTGAGCTCTAAGAGATAAGTCTCCGGCAGGCGAGAATCTAGCCGGAACTGTTTTGCTATCTGGGTGGCTAGGTGTGTATCAGCAAACTAATAAAGCCCGAAAAAAGCCCTGAACTTAGCGAATAAACAGTGTTCCACCAGGATCATGTATGTCAGAAACTATAGTTTACTGCTGAACTCATTTTGTCATGGTAAAAAAACACAGAAATCGAATAATAACATTTCAGTCTACTTCAGTCTCCTGCCGAAGCTCAGACGCCGCGCTTTGAGAAACTGTCAATCACACCTGTCAATCACGATGACACGCCTAGCATTAAATTACTGCTAAAAACAAACTGTTTACAAAAATGAAGATCTGCACCTATTTCAGCACAATAACCAGTGCCTTAATCGACCAGAACTATCTTTCGGGACATTTTATTGCAAGTGTAATATTTTTTTTTATTTAGGCTCAAGTCTCCTTCATTAACACGGAGGAGGCGGGCTTTATGACTTGTACTGCAGCCAGCCCCCAGGGGGCGATCTAACGGCCGAGACCCTCACTCAAACGTAGGCTTGCGGCACACTTGGTGGAGTCCCACAAGACTCGATTCTGGCACCTCTCCTGTTCAACCTTTACATGCTCCCCCTGAGCCAAATAATGAGAAAGAACCAAATCTCCTACCACAGCTATGCTGATGACACTCAGATCTATCTAGCCTTACTGCCTAATGACTACAGCCCCATTGACACCCTCTGCCAATGCATTGATGAAATTAACAATTGGATGTGCCAAAATTTTCTTCAGTTAAACAAAGAGAAAACTGAAGTCATTGCGTTTGGGAACAGAGATGAGGTTCTCAAGGTGAATGCGTACCTTGGCTTTAAAGGTCAAACAACAAAAAATAAGGTCAAGAATCTTGGTGTGACTCTAGAGTCAGATCTGAGTTTCAACAGTCATGTCAAAGCAGTTAGTAAATCAGCATACTATCCTCTCAAAAATATTGCAAGAATTAGATGCTTTGTTTCCAGGGAAGACTTAGAGAAACTTGTTCATGCTTTTATTAGAAGCAGGGTGGATTACTGTAATGGTCTCCTCACCTACCTTCCCAAAAAGACAGTTAGACAGTTGCAGCTCATCCAGAATGCTGCAGCCAGAATTCTGACCAGAAGCAGGAAATCAGAGCACATCACACCTGTCATCAGGTCTTTACACTGGCTCCCAGTTACATTCA